TTGCCAGGCAAGTGCTTATTCTACTAAGCTATCTCCCCAGCCCTATGTAGTAATCTTTTAGAAAAAGAGTGCAGTGGCATACATCTATAATTCTAGTACTTTGAGAGGCTGAGGTAGAAGGATTGCAAATAGGGTTCATTTGGGGACATTTTAACTACTTAGTGAGACCCAGTCTCAGAATAAAAATAAGTAGAAGAGATTGACTGGTTAAGTGAAAAGTCCTTTGTTTCAGTTTGCAAAAATTATACTGCAAACGTAAAGAAGGGTCTAGGGAGATAGTTTGGCAGTTTAAGCACCTGCCTGGCAAGCGCAAGGACCCAAGTTCAATCCCCAGTACCACATGCTGTGCCAGCCCCAGAACCCCAGGCACACTGTGCAGGCTTGGTGGCTCATACCTATAATCCCAGTGCTGGAGAGGCTGAGACAGGAGGATCAGTATGAATCAATCTGAGTAGTGAGACCCTGTACCAAATAAATAAAGCAGAGGGGGGCAAGCAAATTGTAGATGGTATATAAATTAATTCCCTAAGGTGATATTTGTCCTTTTTTTTTTTTTTGGCGGTACTGAGGATTGAACTCAGACCCTTGCGCTTGCCAAGGAAACACTTATTCCACTAAGCCATCTCCCCGGCCCCAATATTTGTCCTTTAATAATGATTTATTAAAAGTTTACGTAAGAAAGCCTGTCAATTGCAAAACATTTATTTCTGTTATATTTTTCTATGTATAAGTATTTTTTAAAGATGTATAATCAAAAAGAAAATTTTTCATCATTTTAAAGATAGTTTTCACTATTTGAGTTTCATAGTTTTAGCATCTTTCTAAAGCTTTTCTCAAAGCAATTTAATTTATATAATTTGTATATTGGTGTATAGGAAGTGAGAATTCATAGGATGAATAGCTCTAAATTAAGATCTTTTTTGCTTCAAATAATATAGATGCCACAAGATATTTTATTTTTTATTGTATTTTATTTTTTCATGTATTTAGTACAGGGTCTATGGGGTCTACAGGGTCTCACTACGTAGATCAGACTCAGTGATTCTCCTGTTTTCAGCCTCCCAAGAGCTGAGATTACAAGAGTTTGCCTCTACGCCCAGTCTCAATCACCGGCTCAATGTGCCTCCGGGGCAGGCCAGATATCAAACCCTAAGCAGGCACTTTAATCCATTGAGCTATCTGGCCAGCCCTAAGATTTTTGTTTGTTTAAGCTAACTTTTAATTAGAAATAGACTATTTGTAGCTAAAGTTTTTTTTATTTTTATTTATTTATTTGTGTGTGTGTGTGTGTGTTTGTGTGTGTGACCAGCTCAGCCCACCAGTGGGTGGGGCTGACTGGCATGTGGTGCTGGGGGATTGAACTGCGGTCCCTATGCTTTGCTAAGCTTGTTCTAAGTAGGTGCTTTAGACCACTGAGCCATCTCACCAGCCCTAGCTAAGTTTAATTCATTCTTTTAATCATACACCACATCTGGAGATTATTTTGCTTTCCCATTGGTTGACCATGGGAATTACAAGAGTTTTGTAATGGTTGACCATTACAAACAAACAAAAATCTTAGGGCTGACCAGATAGCTCATTGGATTAAAGTGCCTGCTTAGGGTTTGATACCCAGCCCTCCCCTTTATAGAGGAAGGTCCATTTCAAATAAATTCCATTTTTAATAACATGGAATAGTCATAAAATTTGTTGTTAGCTTTATAGATCTGTTTTAATTTTTGATACCTGGAATCAAACTCAGAACCTTGAGTTTGCAGGTGCTGTGCTGCTGAGCTGTATGCCTGGCCAAGCTTTCTAAAATTTTTTTTTGATTGTTAGAATTATTATCTTTCTTTTTATCTTTATTTAGGAAAATGACATTTGGAAGAGTCAGCGACTTGGGACAATTTATCCGAGAATCTGAGCCTGAACCTGATGTAAAGAAATCAAAAGGTTTGTGATGTTCACTTAGTGAAAAGGCCAAGAAGTGATGTGTTCTTTTGTTTCTTTTTTTTTATGAGCAAAATATATTTATTGAGGGAAAGAAAACTCCTGTCCAAGAGAAGGACAGGAGGGGGGCCCAAGTGGGTAGTTCCCCGGGAAGCTGTCTCTTCCAGGGACTTTTATAGGGTAAAACCATGCAGGGCTAAGGTGGAGAAAGGGGTAACTTGCTTAGGAGGATGTGGGGTGGGACAAAACTGTGGCCAACCAATGGGATTGCAAGCACCATTGCTCAGGTAAAGTTGATTAAGTCCAGGACCAAATGGGGAAGCAAGTCACAGAGTAAGTGGGCATGAATACAGGACAAGGTTTCTTCCTGTTGGGGTTTGGAATACTGGACAGGGTCTCTTCCTTTTTTTTGTTTGGCAGAACCAGGGATTGAACTCAGGCCCTTGGTCTCTTCCTAATGGGGCTTGGACTAGTGACTCACTTGGGTCTTTCCAGGTGATGGATACCTATTTAGAATATTAGTCCCAGGTATTACTCTTTTAGCATTTGTTTGGCCTTTAGGTCTTTAAGTCTGGTTCACAGCAGGAGCATCTGTCCCTCCCACAGTTGTAAGGTATCTTGTCTTTTGTGCTGTCTTCTTCAAGGGCCTGGCCCTATCTGACTGCCTATAATGGTTCTTTCTAACTCAGCTGCCTGCAATATTCCCCCCTCTGAAGAAGTAACCTGAACTGCCGTGAAGGGAAATATGGGCAATGACCACTCTGGCTTCTTCAGGCTGAAAGGGGTCATAGTTGTTGACAGGCAGTCAGATATATTTTTTTAGAAGTTCTATCTAAAGGCCCTCAATAGATGACAGGCATTTTCCCCTTGGGTAGATGTGTAGCTTTGAGTATGCATGGGCCAAATAATCACAACAGGATAATTATGAAAAAGATGAGTTAGAACTTTTTGTAGGTCTATTAGCAGATATCTCTTTTTTTTTTTTTTTTTTTCGGAACCAGGGATTGAACTCAGGGCCTTGTGCTTGCCAGGCAAGCAGTTATTCTACTGAGCCATCTCCCTGGCCCCTAGCAGATGTCTCTTAAATGTGAGGTTTAATCTCATTTTTATCTTTCATGGCCATTGTATATTGTCTCAAACAATTGAGGCTTTTATGTCTCATCAGTTTTTATTATTACTTGGGGCACATGAATTGTCAGAAATAGGGAAAACACCAGGTACTCTCCAGTTTGCAAGCAGGGCCACTGGCTGGGTAACTACCAACAAATCTGTATGATCTTCTATCAAACGTCTAACAGGCTTTTTTCTTATATTAGCAGTTAACATGGGTTCCTTTAGGCTGAGAGGTGAAGACCATGATCTTATCAATCTGAAACTTTCTCTGACTCCATCATGAACACTTTTTTTTTTTTTTTTTTTTCCTCTAGCAGCTTTGGACATTTTTCTTGAAATGTCCCTTTTCTCTGTCTGGATCCAGGGAAGCATAACTTTTTCTATTTCCTGACTGGCCTTCGTTCCTGTAGGATGCTAGTATCACTATTTTTATTTTTGTCTATAATTCCATTCTGTATCCTTTTTATCTCAACTCAGACAAATTTATTTCTGTTAACCCTTCTAACTTCTGCAGCTTGTGTCAGACATCTGGGACTCACTGAGCAAGATATAACTTTTTGGTTTTAGATTTTACCTGCATGATTACCTGGGTTTTGGTATCCTCTAGGAAAGAACAAATTATCTGAGAGATTAGAGCATACATGATCAAAGCATGAACATTCGAGCTCACAGGTACATTTATAAACCTTTTTCAACCTAGCAATCATAACTCACTAGCTTAGACCCCTTTATTCATGGAGTCTAACAGTTTTGTATAAGTCCGTTTAGCTTTAGTGAAGAGGTCACACCTGTATTAACTATGAGCATGAAATACCTGAGTTAATTAAAATCAACCAGATTAACTTATACACTTATCATGAAATACACAGCATTCAGTCAGATTAAACCAATGAAATACCTTTTTAAGTCCTTGTACATGAACAACAATATATATCACATTTGTAAAACCTAGTCAGCATAATTTTGATTAGTTAGCAACCTGAATATATTGTAATACCTCAGTTACAGCTAAAGCAAGATGTCTTCTAAAGTCTGTTTCTATTGAGGTACGATGACTGGAAGGAAAGTCAGGGTTGGAGAAGGACAAAGAGACCTGTGCCAATGTCCAGCAGTAGACTGGGTTTCTTTTCTTTTAGTTGTGATTACTCAGGGCTCCTCCATGGAGATGGCAGGTAGAGATAACAGTCTGGCCAGAGAGAGGAGGCTGGCCCGGGCTCTTCAGTCCTACTGGACCATCTGGAAAGCTGAGTCTAAGCTCTGGATCCTCTGCTTCAGAGTGCAGTCTCACTTCTAGTGGCTGCCTTGGAAGTCAGGGCATGGCTTGTGGGCCTCTTAAGGCAGTCCCTCTTATGCTGGCCTGGCTTTTGACAGCAGTAGCAGATGAACCCCATTGCCACTGAGCTCTTCTTGGAGCCCAGAGAATCAGACTTAGGATCTGTTTTGAGGCTGCAACAAAGGCAGCCATTTTTTATCTTTTTGCTTTCTCTCCCTGGTTTTCTCCCAGTTCTAATTATAAGACACTTAAACAATTTTTACCAAAGTATCAAATGAGTTGTCTAGAGCAAAAGCTATCTTTTGTAGCTCCTGAACTTATCTGTAAGAGTAATCTGTCCCACTGTTCAGCATCTCAGGAAGTATGTCTTACCAGTGCCTCTATTAAAACATTATAAAAAATCAGAGGGGTGTTCATCTTTCTCCTGGTAAATATCTAAAATTTAAAATAACTAGAAGGCTTGGTTCTGGTTTTTAGACCTTTAAGAATACACACTTGAAAAGAAAATGTCTTTTCTAGTTTTCCTGCCTGGCTATTAGGCCACCAGGGATCTGACTATTTGGGCTCCAGTGGGAACTGGAAGTTCCATTGGTTGTCTATCTTTTGACTCTTTAAAATTAACAATACGATATTTCTCTCCAAACACAGTAGTAGCTTGTAAGGCTACCTTGGTTTAAGATTAGCATTCATAAGTCTGAATAAGTCCTCTAAAAACACCAGTGTACTTATCAGGGTCATCTAAGGCGAAGTTCCAAATTGCTTATTTACTTCTTTAAAAAGGTATTGTCCTTGAAAAGCTTGCATACAACTAAACAAGATTTAACCTTGGAGCTCACAGGTGAAACTCTTATTTCATATCATCTAGCATCACATTTTACATATTGGTAAAAACATAATACAGCCAGCAGAAATTTCTTACTTTGTTAACATGTAAGGCACGGAGGTAAACTTCCCCTGATAACCACTATTGCAAGCTGTCTCAGCCTTATTTCTCAAAGAGTGACTCATTAACTTGTTCTACTGAAAAGCTCAGGTAAAATTCCTAGTTTACTAGCAGAAAGAGAGAAAAAGTACAATAGGTAAGTGGAGATCTTTCAGTGGTCAGGAGCCATTTTCCACCAAGGACCCTTTAGGTATCCGTCAGAGAGTAGCCCTGGCCATGACCCCTCAGGTGTTCTCAGTTTCTATTGGCTCACACAACCAGAGATGTCTCAGAAAGGAATCCAGCAGTTTCTCTGGTCACCATTCCATCAGCCATAGGCTTCAATGGGGATTCACTAAAGAACAGCTGGGGAAAACTGTCCTCTGCTTCAAAGAGTGGCAGCTGCTCTAAGAGCATTTACTAGCTGGCAGAGTAACCACTTTTTGTCCGAGTTCTATAAGGGATAGTTAAAAGCCTGAACAATATATACTGGCACTTTACACTAAAGATTTAAAGTCCACAACTTATCTCGTATACACCTAAATGATAACTAGACCTAGGAGAAAAGATTGAATCCTCCTTCACACTAAATGTGTTTTGGTCCTATAAGTGTGCTGCTTTTGGAGATAGCACTTTCTGGTGTCACCCAGAAGTCGGTTCTCTCCACTGTGTCTCAGGTTTAGCCTCCCGAAGGAGAGGAGACCTGCCGAGAACACTAAGCTGGGACATGGCTTTTATATGTGTTCTCCAGGACGGGCATAGTTCTTCTTTGTTTCATCTGATCTAGAGACGGAGTATGTGCCCTTTTTCTAAAATGACTTCCCTAGTGGTTAGATAGATATATAGTTACATTCTCTTAATGAATAGAGGGATTTGTTCTAATGGTGTTTGTAAATAGGATATCATGTCCGCATCTTGTGCCGCAATTAACCACTAGGAAGAATGTATGCAATCTGCCTTACCAATTTGGTTTGAAACTGTCTCCTTGCTATTTGTTTCTTAATAAAATTATGGAAAAAAAAAGAAAAACAAAAAAAGGTAAAAAAAATAAAAATAAATAAATAGATAGATAAAATGACTTCCCTGTCTTTAGCGTTAACAAACGCTCATTTTCTAAGAGTTTCACTTAGTTGGAACAGTCTGTATCATTCTCCTAATTTTACATGTCTCTAAAAGGGAACATACAAAGAGGTGGGAAAATTAGGAGTAAAGTCAAAGGAAGGAAACTGAAACAGATCAGGTCTGACATTCCCTCTAGCATGTAGAGCGGGATCAGAACCAGTCTATCCCAGTGAAACCTGTCCTCCAAGTCTTTAAGAACGGTTGCCAAGGGGCCGGGGAGATGGCTCAGTGGAATAAGCGCTTACCTGGCAAGCGCAAGGGCCTGAGTTCAATCCCCGGTTCCGCCAAAAAAAAAAAAAAAAAAAGAACGGTTGACTACCTAATGTCATTTAACTGGCAAAAGGAGTCCCGTGTTTCATATGTAGGCATGTATATTTCCTAAGTCTGAGCTAGCTAAAAGTTCCATTTTACAGAAGTTTACATAAAATCCACCAGGAGGCTTTATAACTTTACTCTCTAGCACTATTGTCTAAAGTCAAGCAAGGAATACCAGTACATTTAGCCATCTAGTTCAAATGCAACATATACAAGTACAAAATAGTCATAAAATATCCTATAAAAAAAAATCATAACCTTATAACATTTTCATACTTTAACTTAGATTTATCAACAACATTTCAACCAATCTACATAAAGACAAAGCATAAGCAATTGTGAACAATTTTAACAGTACTATGAGACAAAACTGTATGAGACAAAGTATGAATAATTAATTATGAACAGTGGGGAAATAACATTTGAAGCTAAAAATTTCTTACCTAAGCAAGTCCCAATCCAGAATTTATGAAAGAAAAACAAACTCATACCTCTGTCCAATGAGGTGGAAGCCTCCAAATGATACAGGGAGAAAAACTGATCTCAGTTGGGTGACCTCCAAACCATACAGGGAACCTACAAATGACATAGAGAAAAATCATCTCCCGACCTGACCTGTACGAGTTCATGTTCTCTAAAACCGAAGAACGAATTTTAGGAACAAATGGAGGTTATGAGCAGACTGTATTTATTGAGAGAAAGAAAGCTCCTGTCCGAGAGAGGGACAAGAGGGGGGCCTGAGCAGGTAGTTACCCCACGATGTGTTTTTATAGTTCATATTTAAGCCTTGGGTCACATCAGTCACTAACAGAAGGGAAAGACCATTTAAGGTTTAGATGGTTATAGCTATGATACCTTTCACCTTGGATGATAGTCACAAGTAAGTACAAAAGTGTCATGTAACCACATCTCTATAAAATTTCTGAATGAAAAATTTCTGCTGAGCTTACTTTACCATAATAGAAAGTGCAGTAGGATATGACAGTACTGTTTACCTTTTTGTTTAATGGCTGAATACATAATCCAGGTTAGACTTCAGATTTATCTTTTGATCCTTTTATTCTACCAAAATCACTAAAAGTTATTATGAAATATGTGGAAGATATTAATAGGTTGAAGTTTAATTCTTCTTTTTTGTTTTTTTTCCCCCCCGGAACTGAGGATTGAACTCAGGCTCTTGCACTTGCCAGGGAAGTGCTTTATTCTACTGAGCCATCTCCCAGCCCCTTAAATTTTTGTTTATAGCATAAGAGCAGCTTAATCAAGTTTAAGGTGGACTTGAATCTACCAATGATGGGTCTGGTATGACATCGTTGTCATCTCCGTTGATGTATGTGTGTCCTGTTGTCCCAGTCCCTCCCTGTCCCTGCCTATCCCTCCCATCGTGTCCCTCTTCCCTATTTTTGGAATGCTGGGAATCAAACCTGGGCCTTCAAAATACTAAGAGCTCTACTGACTGAGCTACATCCCCAGCCTTCTAATCTTTTTTGACAGTTACATTCTTTGCAGTTAAACACAGCTGATGTATGTTTGTATACTTATATATGAATATAAAAGGCAGAAATTAAAAAAATGACAGAGCAGTGGGGAATGGAATTTAAAAGGTAGCCATCAGGAGAGGCCTCACTCTGAGAAGGAAGCATTTTGAGTAGGGAGACAGGGAGAGAGCTGAGTCAGTATTTAGAAAAGTAATGTTCTTGGCTGAAGGAACAAGAACAGAGCCCTGAGCTAGAGAGTAATCATGATCAGTGAACACAGGACCAATATGGCTAGAGTGGCATGGGCAAAAGGTTGAGGTGATAGAAGATGAATGAAAGACCAGGACAAGGACTGGAAAGTGTAGGAACATAATGGAAATTACAGCAGGGAACAATGTGATTTGACTTGTGCACTTAAAGGGATTGATCTGGCAGCTGTGTGGATAGAATGTAAGGTTTTAAGAGAACAGAAAACATTCTAATCAGAGTCTAAGGGATAATGTTGGCTGTGGGTTAAGCTACTATTTAAAAAACATTATATTTGAAGATAGGAGCAACAAGGATTATATATATATTGCCAAGCCTATCTATCAAGTTACTTCCATTACTGATTTCATTGAGACATGGCTATATAAAATGATGAATAGAAATTTCTGAAATTTGTTTGAGCACATCCATTCATTCTGTAGTTTCCTTCAGCTTTCTAGATCTTTGAGTCAGGTTATCTTTTTGTAGTACAAGAAAGCATAGAGATTACATTCTTTTGCTCAGAAGGCATGTAAATGATTTCTGTGAGGCAGGATTTGTGCTAGATGCTGAAATATAAACAAGATGGTATAGTTTTCATCTGTTGTACTCTGACCTTAACTTCTTAAACACATAAGGCTACCTCATGGAATTGTTCAGTCTTACAGATTTTTCTGATTGTATTATTTAGCTTATTGCTGTCTCCCCAGAAATTCTTACATTGAAAGTTATACCTAAAGTCTTAATGATTTAAGTTACACATAAGTGCTTTGCATATATTTTTGAAAAACTTTCATTATTGGTATGTGCATTAAAAATCACCTAAAAGGGCCAGCCAAATAGCTCAGCAGATTAAAGTGCCTGCAAGCAGTCGCAGAGGCCAGGGGTTCTCTCCCAGGCGTGCCTGTAATTCCAGCACTTGGGAGGCTGTAAACAGGAGAATCACTACAAGTCTGATCTAGTAGTCAGACCCTAAACACCCTGTAGACCCTTCCCTAAAAATACAGAATAAATAAATAAATGAATAAATACATTTAAAAAATAAACTAAAACATACACAAAAAGTTTAACAGTGATTACTTTAGCAATCAGAAGAGATAGAAAGTATCTTTTACTTTTCATTATGCTCTCCCTCTACTTTTTAAAATTTTACTGCCTTTTTCTTCCCCAATTCTTTACTGTTTCACCATCTACCTCATCTCTGTGTCGTATGGCTTCCTATTGTACTTGAAATAAAAATCTGTCCTCTTTACTGTGACCTGTAAATGCCCCCGTGACCTTACCTTCAGCCAGCCGCTCTTCCTATCACAAATTAAGCTCTAATTGGACTCTCCTTTATTCATTTTCTGAGATTTCTTCTCTGTTAGGGCCTCCATACTTGCCTTTTCCTCTACGATGGCTTCCGTGTAATGTCTGGCACCTCCTCCACATTTCAATATTACCTTTTCAGAGAGGCCTTTCCAGCCCACATGATCTAAAATAATTTGTACCATCAGCATACCACATCTTTGTCTTCTTAACTCTCTGAATAGCTACTTGGTAGCTATTCAGTAAACATTTGTTGATCAAATTAATTCATCTTTAAGAATTTCATTAGAATTTCAGCATTAGAGCCCTTACCTAGCATGGTTGTGGGCCTGGGTTTGGTTCCCAGCAGCAGCAGCACCACCACCACTACTAGCAAAAAAAGAAAGTGATGCTAATAATGATTCTTTGGAGATTGGGATGGTAAGACTGTGGACAGTATTTGTTTTATTTAAGAAAAAAATATCCTGTCCCATATAGATAGCCTATTCCTGTTTTGGATGAAATAACACTAGAAAAGAACATGCATATCTAACAGTAAAAGATTCTAAGAGCATTTTTTAAATATAAAATTGTGTATGAAATCTGCATTCAATTTTGGCTCTTTTTACTAGGTTCCATGTTCTCACAAGCAATGAAGAAGTGGGTACAAGGAAATACTGATGAGGTAAATTCTGATTTTTAGCACTAGGAGATAATTGCTTATGAGTGCCAACTTTGCTTATAAGTGCTATTGAAGTTTTAGGTTTTTTCTTTTTAGTTTCCATGTTAAAGCCTTAAGACAAATCAGTGCTTCCTTATCCAGGTTGTAACAAGAAAAGGAGGGCTGTTAGTATTTGCCTGGTGATGACAGCAAATGCATCTTCAGAGACTATGGATGCTAAATAGTATCTGTACACAACTTTTTATCAAGTAGCAGACGTCAACCATCAGTGCAGAAATAAAAGCTCAAATGCTTCCTTTCCCATCCTTACTTTTACTTTTAGAAGTGGGAGCTTGCTTTTGGGGATAATTAATTTTATTGAAATGTGAGAGTGGAAAAGAAAAGTATTATATTCCACATGGCTGCACTGACAAAGGTTCTACAATCTGAGGTACAGGATCTCAGGATAAATCCTGAGGGCATTTCACTGACCTTCTCAGACCAAAAAGCTACAACTCTTGTTGCTCAGGTCCTGCTTTACCTAGGTCTTAACCATCCAGTAGAAAAGTATGAAGACGAAATAAAGGAAGTAAAGCCATGTTGTTATGTTGAGCTGTGGGGGACTCAGGTCAATAATTTCTGACATTGCCAGTTGAACAGAAGACCCAATGCTATTATGGGCTACTGGACTCTTTTAGAATATTTTGCTGAGTTTACACACATATAATATTCAATAACGGAACTTAGAAAAAATGGGGTATACCAATGAATGTCCATTTTGTATCTGTGTATTCAAAGTGGTTAGGATAGATATATAGTTGCATTCTCTTAATGAATAGAATGATTTGTTCTAATGGTGTTTGTAAATAGGATCTCAAGTCCACATCTTATATAGCAATTAACCACTAAGAAGAATATATGCAGTGTATTATTTGTTGAAACTCTACTTCCGATTTGATTTGAAACTGTCTCATTGCTGTTTATCAATAAAATTTTGAAAAAAAAAAGTGTTATATTGTTTTGACTATTTAACATGAAAGTAATTGTTAGTGCTATTAGTAGACCCTAGCAGTTGATCCTGGGAAACAGTAAGTGACATGTTAATATATCATAGAGGGTGGCCCAGATTCTTTTATACATGGAAAGTAATTCTTATCTAAATGATAAGTATATACATTTGTGTTTAGAGCTCTGATTATATGCATCCAGATCTTTCTAATGAATAATCATTATTAACAGTTTGAAATGCTTCCTTTAGGCCCAAGAAGAGCTAGCTTGGAAGATTGCTAAAATGATAGTAAGTGACGTCATGCAGCAAGCACAGTATGACCAACCGTTAGAAAAATCTACAAAGGTAAGGATGACTTTTGTTCTGACCTAGTTTGTATAAAGCTGAAAAAAAAAAATTCTATATATATAAAATCAAAAATAGGCTATTTCTCTAGCAACTGTTTCTAGATATTGAACAAGAAACGGGATAGGGCTGTGATCCTTTTTTTTTTTTTTTTTTAATGTATTTACTACAGGGTCTACAGGGTCTTATTACACAGATCTGACTCATAGTGAGCCTCCTGTTCTTAGCCTCCCAAGCGCTGGGATTACAGGTACTCACCACCATGCCCAATCTCAGTTATGCCAGGGGTGGGGCCAGCATGACACACCAGGAATCAAACCCTGGTCCCTGCAACTGCCTAAGCAGGTGCTTTAATCTGCTGAGCTATCTGGCCAGCCCTTATAATCCTTGAAAGAATAACATTGAAGCAATCTTTAGTTCATTGCCTAGAAACAACTTCCAAAGTGCAGAGAGAGAGAGAGAGAGAGAGAGAGAGAGAGAGAGAGAGAGAAACCAAATAGAACCCAGTACACCTACAGCTGCTAAAGAATCAGAAATCACAGTTGGAAGAACTTGATATAACTAAAAATTATAGGACAAGGTACCAAAAAGAAGCAGCTACTTGGAAGGAGCTCTGCAGGAGCATTTGAAGAGATTCTCTTGAGTCTTCGGCAAAAAAAAAACCATATATATATATATAATGTCCAGAGAAGAACTCCAACGCTGAATGATTCTTGGAACAGTGGGGCTGAGAAGAGTGTGTATTTGTGCTTGCTTTGGCAGCACATATACTAAAGAATAGTATATGTTCTTTTTTGCCAGAATAATATACAAAGCATTTGATAGTGTCTTAAGACATGTTTTGTCCTGTTGGAATTAAATTAGCCCCAAAGAGCATCTCAACCAAGTTTATAAGTTTTGAAATGATTAGACTGATCTGTAAATAACAATTACATGTCAAAACAAAGGTCAACCCTCTTTAAATAAATACAGCAAGATTCATTATAGTGTAATAAAAAGTTGTGCATGCAGAAAACTTGAGCAGTAATCAGAAGAAAACTCAGTAGGAGAAATAGACCAAAAGAGAAATGAGAGGATGATGAAATTATTAAACCTGTAGAAGAGCTATTTTTAAAAATATATTCAAGAGGGCCTGGGGATGTAGCTAAGTGGTAGAGCACTTGCATAGTGTGCACAAGCCCACTATGGAGGTGTGGGTGTAGTTGGGTGTGGAGATATATGTCTATACTTTCAGCAAGCACTCTGGGAGGCTGAGGTAGCTGCATCACATGTTTAAGTTGAGCCAGCACAATTTTGTGATTTAGCAAGACCCTGTCTCAAAATTTTAAAAAGAAAGGGCTAGGGAGATGGCTCCGTGGAATAAGCGCTTCCCTGACAAGTGCAAGGGCCTGAGTTCAATCCCCGGTTCCGCAAAAAAAAAAAAAAAAATTAAAAAGAAGATGAAGCTCAGTGCAAAGGCTCCGGGTTCTCACCCCAGTACTACCAGGGAAAAAAAAGGAGGGGACACTGTATATATAGGTATATATGTATGTTCAAGAATATCGAGGCATGCATAAATATAATAAGAGAAATAGAAAATTGTTTTAGAAGACTTAAGTGAAACCAAGTATAGTAGTTGTCACTTATAAGCTTAGCTACCTGGGAGGCTGAGAAAGGAGAATTGAAAGTTTGAGACCAGCCTAATCTTAAGAGACCTTCTCTGTATTAGTCAGTTTTCTGTTGCTATAACAGAGTACCTGTGAAATCAAGCTAAAGAAAGGAAAAAGATTTATTTTGACTCTTGGTTTCAAAGATTTCAGTCCATAGCTGGCTCTACTGCTCTTAGGCCTATAGTGAAGTAGAAACATCATGGCAGAAGAGCATAGGGGAGGAAAGCTGCTTACCTCGTGGCAGCCAGGAAGCAGAAAGAGAATGAGAACCAGGGAATAAGAGGTCAGGGACTAGACTGAATCTCAAAATCACCTTTTCATGACCTACTGTCATCAAGTAGGCCCTACCTTTTTTCATCAGCTTTCAGTAATGCCATCAGAGTCATTTTATTTGTGGCCTAATCCACTGATGAAGTTAAACTATTCATGATCCAGTCATCCCTTTAGCGTGAGGATCAAGTCCTTATACCTGACACTTTGGGAGACACTTATATTTAAACCATAACTCTGTATAAATTTAAAAAAAAAAAAAAACAAAGATTGAAAAGTAGCTATATGTTGCAACATCTGCCAAACGTATGAGGCCTTGAGAAGCTGAGGCAAGAGTATCACTGCATATTCAAGGCTTTCATGGGCAATATGGTGAGTTTAAGACCAGCCTGTACTACGTAGTGAGACACAGGTTTGACAAAAATATTAAAAATATATAAATATGGATGGATGGAAACTTTTTACATGCAAAAACAAGAACAGTAGTATTTTTGTTAAATTTTAAGTGTCTGACAGCTGAGCCAACATCTTTAAAATACTGTAGAAAAAACCTGAGCCTAAAGAGTGAAGATTTTTTTTTTTTACACAGAGAAAGTGTACTTTTTTGAATAAGGGAATAAAATAGACACTTAGAGAGGAATGGAACAGAAACTATTCAACCTGGTTAGGAGAGCTGCTGTCTTACAAGTTTGAACTTTGATTCTTTTTTTTTTTATGAGCAGAATATATTATATTGAGAGAAAGAAAGCTCCTGTCCCGACAGAGGGACAGGAGGGGGGCCTGAGCGGGTGGTTCCCCGGGAAGCTGTCTCTTCCAGGGACTTTTATAGTGTAAAACCATGTGAGGCTAAGGTAGAAAGAATGGGAACTCGCTTAGGTGGGCAGGAGGTGGGACAAAACTATGGTCAACCAATGGGATTACATATGGGACAGGGTCTTTTCCTGTTGGGGGTTGGAATGCAGGATAGGGTCTCTTTCTTGAACTTTGATTCTTTTATTTATTTATTTTTTAACAATTTTTGTATTTTTATTAGCACGTTTGCAGTACATAATGATTACATTTATCATAGGGATTTAGCACATGTATATGACACCATAACTCTTTACATTCCCTTTCTTTCTTTTTTTTTTTTTTTCCATAATTTTATTGAGAGACAAATAGCAATGAGACAGTTTCAAACCAAATTTGGTAGAATAGTTTCAATAATTAACACATTGCATACTCTCTTCCTAGTGGTTATGTGCTGTACGAGATGCAGACATGATATCC